ACACACGGGGTGCTGTTGTGGTACGTACAGTCTCTGGGGCACACACTGGGGTGCTGCTGTAATACGTACAGCCTCTGGGGCATACACGGGGTGCTGCTGTGGTACGTACAGACTCTGGGGCACACAGGGGGTGCTGCTGTGGTACGTACAGTCTCTGGGGCACATACGGGGTGTGGTTGTGGTATGTACAGCCTCTGGGGCGCACACGGGGTGCTGCTGTGGTACGTACAGTCTCTGGGGCACACACGGGGTTCTGCTGTGGTACGTACAGTCTCTGGGGCACACACGGGCTGTGGTTGTGGTACGTACAGCCTCTGGGGCACACACGGGGTGCTGCTGTGGTACGTACAGTCTCTGGGGCACACACGGGGTGCTGCTGTGGTACGTACAGTCTCTAGGGCACACACGGGCCATGGTTGTGGTACGTACAGTCTCTGGGGCACACACTGGGGTGCTGTTGTGCTACGTACAGTCTCTGGGGCACACACGGGGGTGCTGCTGTGGTACGTACAGTCTCTGGGGCACACACAGGTGGTGGTTGTGGTACGTACAGTCTCTGGGGCACACACGGGGTGCTGCTGTGGTACGTACAGTCTCTGGGGCACACACGGGCCGTGGTTGTGGTACGTACAGCCTCTGGGGCACACACGGGGTGCTGCTGTGGTACGTACAGTCTCTGGGGCACACACTGGGGTGCTGCTGTGGTACGTACAGTCTCTGGGGCACACACGGGGTGCTGCTGTGGTACGTACAGTCTCTAGGGCACACACGGGCCATGGTTGTGGTACGTACAGTCTCTGGGGCACACACTGGGGTGCTGTTGTGCTACGTACAGTCTCTGGGGCACACACGGGGGTGCTGCTGTGGTACGTACAGTCTCTGGGGCACACACAGGTGGTGGTTGTGGTACGTACAGTCTCTGGGGCACACACGGGGTGCTGCTGTGGTACGTACAGTCTCTGGGGCACACACGGGCTGTGGTTGTACTACAGCCTCTGGGGCACACACGGGGTGCTGCTGTGGTATGTACAGTCTCTGGGGCACACACGGGCCGTGGTTGTGGTACGTACAGTCTCTGGGGCACACACTGGGGTGCTGTTGTGCTACGTACAGCCTCTGGGGCACACACTGGGTGCTGCTGTGGTACGTACAGCCTCTGGGGCACACACTGGGGTGCTGTTGTGCTACGTACAGCCTCTGGGGCACACACTGGGTGCTGCTGTGGTACGTACAGCCTCTGGGGCACACACTGGGTGCTGCTGTGGTACGTACAGTCTCTGGGGCACACTCTGGGGTGTGGTTGTGGTACGTACAGTCTCTGGGGCACACACTGGGTGCTGTTGTGGTACGTACAGTCTCTGGGGCACACACTGGGGTGCTGCTGTGGTACGTACAGTCTCTGGGGCACACACTGGGTGCTGCTGTGGTACGTACAGTCTCTGGGGCACACACTGGGGTGTGATTGTGGTACGTACAGTCTCTGGGGCACACACTGGGGTGCTGCTGTGGTACGTACAGTCTCTGGGGCACACACTGGGGTCTGATTGTGGTACGTACAGTCTCTGGGGCACACACGGGCTGTGGTTGTGGTACATACAGTCTCTGGGGCACACACGGGCTGTGGTTGTGGTACGTAAAGTCTCTGGGGCACACACGGGGTGCGGCTGTGGTACGTACACTCTCTGGGGCACACACTGGGGTGCTGCTGTGGTACGTACAGTCTCTGGGGCACACACGGGGTGCTGCTGTGGTACGTACAGTCTCTAGGGCACACACGGGCCATGGTTGTGGTACGTACAGTCTCTGGGGCACACACGGGGTGCTGCTGTGGTACGTACAGTCTCTGGGGCACACACTGGGTGCTGCTGTGGTACGTACAGTCTCTGGGGCACACACTGGGGTGTGATTGTGGTACGTACAGTCTCTGGGGCACACACTGGGGTGCTGCTGTGGTACGTACAGTCTCTGGGGCACACACTGGGGTCTGATTGTGGTACGTACAGTCTCTGGGGCACACACGGGCTGTGGTTGTGGTACATACAGTCTCTGGGGCACACACGGGCTGTGGTTGTGGTACGTAAAGTCTCTGGGGCACACACGGGGTGCGGCTGTGGTACGTACAGTCTCTGGGGCACACACTGGGGTGTGGTTGTGGTACGTACAGTCTCTGGGGCACACACTGGGTGTGATTGTGGTACATACAGTCTCTGGGGCACACACTGGGGTGCTGCTGTGGTACGTACAGTCTCTGGGGCACACACGGGGTGCTGTTGTGGTATGTACAGTCTCTGGGGCACACACTGGGTGCTGCTGTGGTATGTACAGTCTCTGGGGCACACACGGGGTGCTGCTGTGGTACGTACAGTCTCTGGGGCACACACTGGGGTGCTGCTGTGGTACGTACAGCCTCTGGGGCACACACTGGGGTGCTGCTGTGGTACGTACAGTCTCTGGGGCACACACTGGGTGTGGTTGTGGTACGTACAGTCTCTGGGGCACACACTGGGTGCTGTTGTGGTACGTACAGTCTCTGGGGCACACACTGGGTGCTGCTGTGGTATGTACAGTCTCTGGGGCACACACGGGGTGCTGCTGTGGTACGTACAGTCTCTGGGGCACACACTGGGGTGCTGCTGTGGTACGTACAGTCTCTGGGGCACACACTGGGGTGTGGTTGTGGTACGTACAGTCTCTGGGGCACACACTGGGGTGTGGTTGTGGTACGTACAGTCTCTGGGGCACACACGGGGTGCTGCTGTGGTACGTACAGTCTCTGGGGCACACACTGGGTGTGGTTGTGGCATACAGCCTGTGGCAGATGCAGGGGTGCGGTTGTGGTGCGTCCTGTCTCCGGGGCACGTGACTGTGCTGTTCTGTCAGATCAGATACAGGCCGTGAAGTTTGCTGCTCACATCCACCCAGGTTTGGTTTTCGTCCGCCAAGCACAGGCACACCCTGCTTCCTGTGCGGGACGGATTCTCTTGAGTCGTCCGAGCGGCGTTTCCTGTACCGACGGCTATAATTAGAACAGCCGCTAGACGACACTCAGAACCTGCCGCCTTTACTCACGCTGGCTGGCACCTTACTCCTTGAGTAGCCCCTTTCATTGCAGCGGAGCTCCCTGCGGAGTCGGGCGCTGCTCAGCGTGAGCGATACCCCTCCTCGGGTCAGATTGTCATTGAGACAATGGGGGGGGGGCAGGATGAATCTGACCCTGTGTATTTACGTTTGGGGAAAATGGCACCTTGCTCCCTAACACGTCCTCCCTGTGTTGCTGAGTCACACTCACTCACTGCTCTGACCAACACTGGGAGCCCTGCCGAGGTTACGCTGCTCTGGACCGGGAGCTGGATTCTAATCTGGCTCCTGCATCAGCAGCAAATTGTCTGCCAGATTCCATTGCAGCCCCCGCCTTCCTGGTCCTGGTAACAATGCGGGAGGCGGAGGGAAGCGACACAGCTTGGCTCTCTGAGCCCAGGCAGAGCTGGCAGGTCTGGTGGGTAGAGAAAAACTTTGTTAATTTGCTGCTTGGCACTTTGCTTCTTCAAAACTCTGTACAAACATCTCTAGTCAGCCTTCACACCGCCCTGCCAACCAGGAAAGCGTCATCCCCTCCACGTTACTTAGAGGCAAACAGGGAGTTTAAGTAACTTGCCTGAGGGCACTCATTGAATCAGTGGCAGAGCCCTGTGCTTACTCCTTGGGACCTTGCTGCCTCTCTAGCTCGTGGGAGCCACTAAACAAATCACATGACCCTCCTGTACACCTCCCCACTGGCAGGGTTTGGAGGGTGGGAGGGGGATCAGGGCTGGGGAAAGGGGGTTGAGGTGCTGGAAGGGGTTAGGGGTGCAGGCTCTGGGTGGTGCTTACCTCAAGCAGTTCCCGGAAGCAGCAGCATGTCCCCCCTCTGGCTCCTACGTGGAGGCACCACCAGGTGGCTCTGCACGCTGCCCCTTCCACAGGCGCTGCCCCTGCAGCTCCCATTGGCCTCATTTGCGGGCCAGTGGGAGCTGCAGGGGCAGTGTGTGAAGCCCCCTGGCTGCCCCTACGTATAGGAGCTGCTGGGAGGACATGCCGCTACTTCCGGGAGCCACGTGGAGCAAGACCCCAACCCTGCTCCCCAGCAGGAGCTCAAGGGCCAGATCAAAATGTCTGAAGGGCTGGATGCAGCCCCGGGCTGTAGTTTGCCCACCCCTGCTCTAAGCAGTAGGATCCCCCTTCCCCCGACCTCAGAAATGTGGCAAATGCACATCAATCACGCCCTGTGCATGTCTGCGACTTCTGCTGTCTGAAGGGGTCACAGAGAGTAAGCAGGGACTGGCAGAGAGCGTCGGCCAGGCTGCCCGCCCTGACACACTGCCATCGCTGGTGAGAAGGACAGAGAGAGCTTCCGTGCAGCTGGCCAGTGTCCATGGGCTTGGGGGCTTGGTCACTCCCTGCCCCCACTTGAGTTTCTAGCCCCACCTCAGCTGCCCCACGCCTCAGCCAGTTCTGAGGAGCAGGAGTGAGCAGGCAGAGCTTCTGCACGTTTGGGGCCCTCCACGCTTGTTTGTCCAGGAGAGGATCATCTGGGGGAGTAGGATTCGGGGCTTCGGTCACCCTGAGATGCGTGTTAGTGACAGGCAGCTTTATAACAGTTCGCTCTCGCTTGTGGGATTTTTATTATTCCCTTTCCATGGAGCCACGTGAACAAACCCCCGCTGAGCAGCGATGTTCCACCACACTGGCTGCTCAGGGGTGCGTGTGAGCGCAGCGAGGTACTTGGGAGGAACAACTGGTGCCCACACGTACCATCAAAGCACATTCCTGTCTCTGATAAACTCTTTGAGCCAAAATCTAATCTCGGTTAGCCCCATGCTCTGGGGGTCAGTTTCCTGCCTTGATGCATTTAATAAAATGTAAAAATAGCCTTTGGCAGAACCCTCCCCCGCAATTATCCCCGAAAAGTTGGTGTGCTGGCTGGACTTTAAACAGCTGCAGTTTTGCCTAGAGCTAAATGATCTGTTGTGTTCTGGTTGTGGGGAGGTGGGGCGGGGATTCTTAATATACCGGTTTGTGACTAACCGGCCTGACTTGAGCACTGTGAAGCTGCACGATGACACAGCCGTCGTTACATGTGTACGGTAGAAGCCCAGAACTGAGGTCTCCCAGTGCTGCCCTGGAGCAGAATGGAAGGAAAATCCACTGCAGAGAACAATGGTTCCTGGAGGCAAAGTGCCCTGCTGTCCTTGGCTTTTGAAAAACAGCTGCTGCTACAAAACAGTTCTCAGGGTTTGCATAAAACCTGGAACAGTGGTTTTGCTCCAAGGCAAAATAAGCTGGAAAGCGACCCAGTCGTTTGGACACAAGCAGAGAGGATAGATGATCCCGCTGCAGTACAAGAGATGCAGACTTACTCTTCATTGGCCACTCAGCATAGCTTGTAAGTGCAAATGCTGTTTGCTACGGTTGCCTTCTGCAACCTAACAGGGGCGGCTTCTGATTTAGAGAAAGGAGTCCATAGAAAAATACAGGTAGGAAAAGGTGCTGTGGGAAGTGGGGCTTGTGATTCAGCAGGGGGCGGTTTTTCTTGTGGGTCAGCATCGAACCTAACCCAAGCCCAGCATCAGGGCTTGTCTACACTACTGTGCGAGGTCAAGCTCAGAGACGCCACTTCAGCTACGTGAATAGCGTAGCTGAAATCAAAGTACTTAGATCTACTCACCGCGGTAAATCGACAGCCAACGCTCTCCCGTCCACTCCGCTTGCGCTTCTCGTTCTGGTGGAGTACTGGAGTCGACGGGAGAGCGCTCAGCTCAGAGCTGGACACGATAAATCGGATCCGGCAGGTAGTGTAGACAAGCCCTTAAAGGGGGCCGAGCCGCTGGAGAGGCCGTCTGTTCGAAGAGTTGTAAAAACGAGGTCCAACATTCAAATCCAGGTCACTTCTAGCACCATGTTAACGGCTGCTCAGCCTGGAAGCCATTTGAATGTACCAGCTTTGTTGAACCTACCCACCTAGGAACACAGCTACGTGTCCTGTCAGCTCTTTAGCTGCCCTAGCTATCACCACACACCCATCCACACAGTCGCTGCTTTTCTATCCAGTTCTCAGGACAATGTCTGTTCTTTGCCAATCAGCACGTCTCACAGCCTCTGAGGGCCCACACATGAATTCACACACAGCCGGCGTCAGAAGAGGGGATTGCTGCTTTCTGGTGATGCTAAAAGAAAAACTTTTTGTTCAGGTGGGGTCTGTAAACAGCTAAGTGAGCCTGGGATTAGAAATGCTGCACTGAAAAACAGACAATGCCCTTAAGAATCTGCAGAAGACTCCAGTGTCTCTATTTGACGGGTCACCCACCAGCACCTGTGCTGGCAGGGTTCTGCCCAACACAGTGCACCCTGGTACATTTTGCTGCTGACATCCACAGATGCAAATCTTCCCTTGTTATTTATGGGGCCCCCAGGACAGTTTCTGCCTCAAGAACTGGGAGAATTCCAGGCACTTCCAGCAACCGTAATACACCGTGCAATAAATGTTGGCAATGCGCAGGTCTCTGGAAACGCTTCATTTCCCCCAAATTGATGATGCATGGGAAAGCTCCCAGTCAAAATCCACAAAGCCCTCACCTCATCCCCCTTCACATCATTCCTCAAACCTCTCGTATTCTGTGATGTGCACAGAATCCTGCAACCGGAGAATGGCTAGGCCGGTCAGCTGTGATCACTACTCCGCATTGGCCCAGGATCGTGCACACCCTATCATTTTTTTAACCTGTTTTCCCCCAAATCCATCGTGGTCTGCTTGTTTCATCCACTATCACCTTGTCTTTTAGGCTACACCTCCAGTGGAAGCTTACAGCCGGAGGAGACCTACCCCCTTTAGCTCTGGTTGAGCTAACCCTAAAAACAGGAGTGTAATCACAGCGGCGCGAGCAATGGGATGGGCTAGCTACCCGAGTACATACCCAGGGGCTCAGATGGGTACGTATACAGGGCAGCTAGCCCCTCTTGCTGCTGTTTTGAGAACGCTTTCTTGATCGGAGCTATTGTGGGTATGTCTCCTCAAGCTGGGAATTACCCCTCAAGATGAAAGTGCTGATGTACGCTTCGACTGGAAAGGGCTTGGGGCAGGGAATGTATTTTACCATCTGTTTTCACAGACTTAGCCCAACAGAGCCCTTGCCTGGTGTGGCTCTGGAAACTACTGCAAAGTTAAATGAAGCTAAATCCTCCTTTCAACAGTCACAGATACATATTTGTAATTCATGCATTCCATTCCATTTACTCTGCATGTCCTGCAATATGTATGAGCAATTGGTAAAGAACTGGTGTGTGTGACTGTGGGAGAAAGAGGGAGAACCACTGCCCTCTACTGGGGGAATTTGATCTGCTCGACTAGTACAGCACCATGGGCCTTATGCTTCTCACAGCTGATATTCTCCTTCAGTTGATGTGGGAGGGACTTGTGCTTTTGGGGCAGGAGGAGCTGAGTTCTATCCTGGAGTGGCCATGGTGTTCAGCATAACAGCAACCATGAAGTCCTAGGTGGCCTGGATCTTCTGTGTTTTGTCCTATATTGTTAAAGGAAGAACCCAAGAAGTGGAGGCTGCATTGCCATTCTTCCATGGCAAGAGGTAAAGAGTTACACCTTTCCCTGCACAGCCTCAGAGCTGGCCTTCAGGAAGCAGGAAGATGGTTCTCTTCTGCTTCCTGGATTGCACATGCCTTTGATGCTTGAGTTACAAGAGTTGCCAGATGCAACCAGTGAAGCAATCACTGGTGGATGTGCCAATATTATGGCTGCTGAATAAGATGCGGGGGGGGGGGGGGTATTTTTTTAACCAAAGTATTAAAGAAATATAAAAATGAATACTTTGGCCTAATACAGCACCCTTCATTGGCACATGAAGACCTTAAATTGCTTATTCCAAAGATGAATAAATTAAGCCTCACCAAACAAAGCTACCTACAGACCATCACCATAATTCCTGAGCACCTTCCCTTAGTAAAATGACAACAGTGATCTCTTTTTCCTTCCCTCTCTGCTGGGAAGAAGCAGCCTTTGCTTTTTCTAGGGAGCAGGAGAGATGGAAGAAAGATATTCGTGTGGTAGAAGAACCTGACACCCCAGCAGTGACAGCGGAGGCTCCTGCAAGTCACAGCCGTGCTCTGGGAAACTTGTATTACACCTGCCCACTTTTTACACAAAAAACAAATGAAGAAATATATATTTACAACACGGGCAAACCAGGTGCGTCGAGCTGGGAGCACTCTGACCTGAAAGAAATATATCCTGACGAGCTTTATCACACGGGCATGCCAGGTACGTTGAGCACTGGGAGCACTCCGTCCTGATGGATATTTATCCCATGTGATGTAACACAGGTGTACCAGCTATGTCGAGCGTTGGGAGCACTCTGACCTGACAGAGATATATCCCGACGTGCTTTATAACAGGGGCGTACAAGGTACGTTGAGCGTTGGGAGCACTCTGACCTGACAGATACATATCCTGATATGCCTTTGATGATCAACATTCAATAGTAAGAAACAGCGTGGCCCCGAGCATGCCCAATGGCTGTGCATTCAAGGGGTAACCTGGCACGATCTCTAATTAAACCTAACATACATGACTCTGGTGCCGTAAGTAATGGTGGATTCAGTCCAGGAGACATAAAAAGAGAAATGGCTCATTAATCAATTCATAGCAAAAGAAGAGGTCAAATTGTTTAGTAATTTACCCTTTACTCTCATCTTAATCTGGATCTGTTGCTATGGCTGCTATTAAAGTCCATTAGAATAATCCTTTTTGGCTGGGCCAGCTGCCTGTCCCTGTCCCGACCCATGCCCAGAGCTTTCACTTTCATCCGATGTTGGCAGCCACCTCATCTGCACATCCCAGAATCCCTCTCATCTGCATATCCCAGAATCCCTCTCTGTTTGCTAGAGTCACTATTTCAGAGCCAGGAAAATTGTTTTATTCTGTTTCTAAATGGGATAAGGAGGGCCCGGATCTCTACTTAGTGCCTTTCTTAGTTTGATTTTGTGGAGTGGAAATGAGAGAGAGAGGAAAATCTAAGCACTAACTCACCTAGTTTAGCCTCACAAAATCCTCACCATTATTCCTCACAGTTATTAGCTGTATTAGAGGCCCCAGTCAGGGATCAAGGCCCCACTGTGCTAGCTGCTATACACATATGTAATAAAAAGGCAATCCCTGCCCCAAGGATCTAGCAGTCTACGTCACGAACATTTACTCTCCCAGACACCAACTCTATTAGTCGCTACCCTGCTAATGATCCAAAGCCAATAAGGAACGGTTGCTGTACTTGGCATTGATATGATTATATTTTACTGGCTCATCAAAAATATGACTCAGGCAAAGTGAACAGGTAAGTGAAAGTGATCCAGCTGTGCAAGATATGGTCTGTCCACTGGTGCTTTCCCCATCGAGTTGGACGAGTCTCAACGTAAGAGGGATTTACCCAGATCTCTTGGCAGCGATTTTCAGTCTAGCAGACATCATGTTAAGACTTCTTCTTGCTATGCTCCAAATGGAACTAAGAATGACACTGTGTAGCTATGTATATGGTTGGGATGGTCCATGCCAAGGGAGAGCTGGCAGCCCCATTAGCTGGTTCTGATTGCAGATAAGTGGAGGAGGTAAAACATGAGCTTTAAAGTCTGACTGGATGTTGAGAGGGACAATAGGAATCCTCCCTGTCTGGGCTCAATGTCCACCATCTCTTCTGCTCTGGGAAAGAGAGCATTTGTACAATTGTGATGCGGTGTTCACCCATACTAGCCTAAAAGGCGCATAGGTGCTGGAACTAGGGGTGCTGGGGGTGCTGCTCCACCCCCTGGCTTGAAGTGATTTCCATTATATAAGGGGTCTACAGTTTGGTTCAATGGCTTTCAGCACCCCCCACTGTACAAACTGTTCCAGCCCCGCTGAGAAGGGGTGAATGAGGCCGAGAAGGGGGCCAGTTAATCAGATAGGCCCCTGCAGATGGGAATGAGGCAGCCTAAGTAACCCCTGAATAATGATGGAGCCAAGCTGAGAAGGAACAGGTGAGGCTGGTATAAAGCCAGGAAGCTGGCAGCAGAAAGCGGCTGCAGTGAGGGAGTCTGTGGCTACTCTCTGGATGTTAGGGAGGCGAGCAAGGAACAAACCAATCACCCAAGGGCCCAGGGTGTAGGAAACGGCTCAGGGAAATGGCAGCAAGGTCGAAGGCGGTGCAGACCTTGGCTGCTGATTAGAGGGTCCCTGGGCTGGAACTCGGAGTTGGGGGCATGTTCGGGGTCCCCTGCCAGGCACTGGGGAAGGGACACAGTCTGGGCAGTGCATGGGAAGACTGCCGGAGACCATTTGTATGGAGAGTCTTTGATAACCCCGGAAGGGGGAAAATACAGTGACTTGGCCACAGAGAAGGAGCAGCCAAGCCACAAAGAGAGAGCACCCTGTTACAGCTATATAAACGGGTGGAGTTTCCCATCCAGGGAATACATTTAATGTAAACAAAATATATGTTAAAATTAATGGGCTCCTCTTATATGTTGAATTTACTTTGTAAATAGATGGAGTCTGCAAAAGGGATGTAAACCGTCCTGCACACATATGGAGTGTATGAATACCCCAGGGATGAAGCCAAATGCTTTGAGGGAGCTACATCTGGGCCAGAATGCAGCAGATCATCTGTTCACTAGAACACTTCACACTGATTCACCATTCCCTACACTGGCTCCCCACTGACCAGACTCCAGTGCACTGATTTACAAACCTCTGCATGGTATTGGCTGGACCAAGACTATGGAACTCCCTGACAGATAAAATAAAGTTCGCACCAATAGAGCTGCTTCAGAGCTAAGTGCCAATCTGTTCAACTCAGCCTTGCCGCCATAACCCCCTCCACACACACCAGCACCCTCCCCCGTGGATATGTATACATGAAAACATCCCACAATAAGTTCAAGCTTCTTCCTGCCAAGAGGGCTGGGAACGAGAGGGATTAGTGCTCACTTCTTGTAAGAGCAGCTCTGATACTGGAGGGGTTCAAATGGGAATAGATAGAGGGGTGCATGTCGGGATGGATGGACAGAGAGATGGATTGATGGATGGATAGCTGAGGAGTGCACCTGGGGATGGACAGATAGCTGGATAGAGGAGGGGTGCATATGGGGATAGACTGATGGACAGAGAAGGAGTGCACCTGGTGACAGAGAAATGGACAGAGGAGGGGGAACCTGGGGATGGATGGAGGGAGGGATGGAGGTTGCACAGGGGTATGGAGGAGGGGGAGGGAGGGAAGAGGGGGTTGCACAAGGGGAGGGAGGGATGGAGGGGGAGGGAGGAGGGGGGTTGCACAGGGGGATGGAGGAGGGGGGGTTGCACAGGGGGATGGAGGGATGGAGGGGGGATGGAGGAGGGGGTTGCACTGGGGGATGGAGGGAGGGATGGAGGAGGGGGATGGAGGGAGGGAGGGATGGAGGGAGGAGGGGGGTTGCACAGGGGGATGGAGGGGGGAGAGAGGAGGGGGAGGGAGGGATGGGGGTTGGAGAGGGGGATGGAGGGATGGGGGGAGGGAGGAGGAGGTTGCACAGGGGGATGGGGGGGAGGGAGGAGGGGGTTGAACAGGGGGAGGGAGGGAGGAGGGAGGAGGAGGTTAACAGGGGGAGGGAGGAGGGGGAGGGATGGAGGACGGGGAGGGAGGGATGGAGGTGGGGGGTTGCACAGAGGGATGGAGAGAGGGAGGGATGGAGGGAGGAGGGGTTGCAGAGTGGGATGGGGGGATGGAGGAGGGGGAGGGAGGGATGGGGGTTTCAGAGGGGGATGGAGGGATGGAGGAGGGGAAGGGAGGAGGGGGTTGCACAGGGAGAGGGAGGAGTGGGAGGGATGGAGAAGCGGGAGGGAGGGATGGAGGTGGGGGGTTGCATAGGGGGATGGAGGGAGGGATGGGGGTTGCACAGGGGGATGGGGGGATGGAGGAAGGGGTTGAACAGGGGGAGAGAGGAGGAGGAGGGATGGAGGAGGGGGAGGGAGGAATGGAGGAGGGGGTTGCACAGGAGGAGGGGGAGCGAGGAGGGGGTTGCAGAGGGGGATGGAGGGATGGGGGAGGGAGGAGGGGGAGGGAGGGATGGAGGAGGAGGTTGCACAGGGGGATGGAGGGATGCAGGTTGCAGAGGAGGATGGAGGGATGGGGGGAGGGAGGAGGGGGTTGAACAGGGGGATGGAGGGGGAGATGGAGGAGGGGGTTGCACTGGGGGAGGGAGGGGGATGGAGGAGGGGGTTGCAGAGGGGGATGGAGGTAGAGAGGGATGGAGGGAGGAGGGGGTTGAACAGGGGCAGAAGGAGGGGGGATGGAGGAGGGGGAGGGAGGATGGAGGAGGGGGGTTGCAGAGGGGGATGGAGGGAGGGGGATGCACAGGGGGGAGGGATGGAGGAGGGGGATGGAGGAGGGGGGTGGAACAGGGCGAGGGAGGAGGGGGAAGGATGGAGGGATGGAGGGGGTGATGGAGGAGGGGGTTGCACTGGGGGAGGGAGGGAGGGATGGAGGAGGGGGTTGCAGAGGGGGATGGAGGAGGGGGAGGGAGGGATGGAGGAGGGGTTGCACAGGGGGATGGAGGGAGAGGGCGGGAGGGAGGAGGGGGTTGCACAGGGGGGAGGAATGGAGGAGGGGGAGGGAGGGATGGAGGAGGGGTTGCAGAGGGGGATGGAGGGATGGGGCGGGAGGGAGGGCGGGTTGCACAGGGGGGTGGAGGAGGGGGGTTGCAGAGGGGGATGGAGGGAGGGGGGTTGCACAGGGGGAGGGATGGAGGATGGGGAGGGAGGAGGGGGTGCACAGGGGGGAGGGATGGAGGAGGGGGAGGGATGGAGGGGTTGACAGAGGGCTGGAGGGAGGGGGCGGGAGGGAGGAGGGGTTGGAGAGGGGGAGGGAGGGAGGAGGGGGGGATGGAGGGGGGGTTGCAGAGGGGGCTGGAGGGAGGAGGGGGTGACAGGGGGATGGAGGGAGGAGGGGGATGGAGGGGGTTGCAGAGGGGGAGGGAGGGAGGAGGGGTTGCAGAGGGGGATGGAGGGAGGGGGCGGGAGGGAGGAGGGGTTGCACAGGGGGATGGAGGGGGGGTTGCAGAGGGGGCTGGAGGGAGGAGGGGGTGCACAGGGGGGAGGGAGGGAGGAGGGGGGGATGGGGGGGTTGCAGAGGGGGCTGGAGGGAGGAGGGGGTGACAGGGGGATGGAGGGAGGAGGGGGGATGGAGGGGGGTTGCAGAGGGGGCTGGAGGGAGGAGGGGGTGCACAGGGGGAGGGAGGGAGGAGGGGGGATGGGGGTTGCAGAGGGGGCTGGAGGGAGGAGGGGGTGACAGGGGGATGGAGGGAGGAGGGGGGATGGAGGGGGTTGCAGAGGGGGCTGGAGGGAGGAGGGGGTGCACAGGGGGGAGGGAGGGAGGAGGGGGGATGGGGGGGTTGCAGAGGGGGCTGGAGGGAGGAGGGGGTGCACAGGGGGATGGAGGGAGGAGGGGGGATGGAGGGGGGGTTGCAGAGGGGGCTGGAGGGAGGAGGGGGTGCACAGGGGGAGGGAGGGAGGAGGGGGGATGGGGGGTTGCAGAGGGGGCTGGAGGGAGGAGGGGGTGCACAGGGGATGGAGGGAGGAGGGGGATGGAGGGGGGGGTTGCAGAGGGGGCTGGAGGGAGGAGGGGGTGCACAGGGGGAGGGAGGGAGGAGGGGGCCCCTGTGGGGCCGGGCAGACCAGGGCAGCGGCCCCGGCTCGGGGCGGGCGGCCGGACCGTGCTCTGCCCGGTCTCCTCGCGCAGGGCTCGGCCGCCCCGCGGTGCCCCCTGGCGGCGGGCGCGGAGGTGCAGACGGACCGGGGCCTGGCCCCGGAACGCTTGGCCTGGGGACGCGTTTCCACCGGACACCGTAACGCGGCGCACCCGGCCGGAACCGTTGCTCGGGGCGCCCGGCCCGGCCTCTCCGGCCCATGGCCGGGCCCAGCTGCGGCTCCGGGAGCCCGGTCTCGTGTCCGCGGGCCGGAGGAAGGGGACAGGGTCCCGTGGTGGCCCCCCCCAGGCATGGGCTCCCCACGCACTGGCTTCCGGTTCACGGGGCGAGTACTTCCGGGGCAGGGACGGGTGCCGGGGGAGCCCAGCCCAGGAGAAAAGCGTTTGGGGCCGCGGAGGAGTCGGCATGGGGAAGAAGAGGAGCCCGGGGCTCGGCCGGGCCCTCATGAAGGAGAGGAGCCAGGCCCGGCGGGGCAGCAGGCAGCCCGAGTCCTGGGTAGGGGCCGCTCGCGGGAGGTCCTGGCCCAGGCAGGCTCCGCGGGCTCCCTCCTCCCCGGTGTGCCCATCCCCCCACCCCTCCTCGGAGAGCCCCCCCTCCCCCCCGGTGTGCCCATCCCCCCCCTCCTCCCCGGTGTGCCCATCCCCCTCCCCCCCTCGGGAGCCCCCTCCCCCCCGGCCCACCCCCCCTCCTCCCCGTGTGCCCATCCCCCTCCCCCCGCTAGGGAGCCCCCCCTCCTCCCCGGTGTGCCCATCCCCCCCTCCTCCCCGGTTCCCACCCCCCCCCGCCAGGAGCCCCCTCCTCCCCGGTGTGCCCATCCCCCCCCCCCCGCAGGGAGCCCCCCTCCTCCCCGGTGTGCCCATCCCCCCCCCCCGCTAGGGAGCCCCCTCCCCCCCCCCTCCTCCCCGGTGTGCCCATCCCCCTCCCCCCCCTGGGAGCCCCCTCCTCCCCGGTGTGCCCATCCCCCCCCCCGCTAGGGAGCCCCCCTCCTCCCCGGTGTGCCCACCCCCCCCCTCCTCCCCGGTGTGCCCATCCCCCCCCCCCCGCTAGGGAGCCCCCCTCCTCCCCGGTGTGCCCATCCCCCTCCCCCCGCCAGGGAGCCCCCCTCCTCCCCGGTGTGCCCATCCCCCCCCCTCCCCGGGGCCCATCCCCCCCCCCTCCTCCCCCCCTCCTCCCCGGTGCCCATCCCCCCCCCCCCCCCCCCCGGGAGCCCCCCCCTCCCCCGGTGTGCCCATCCCCCCTCCCCCCTCCCTCCCCGGTGTGCCCATCCCCCTCCCCCCTCGGGGAGCCCCCCCCCTCCTCCCCCGGTGTGCCCATCCCCCCCCCCCCCCGGGGAGCCCCCCTCCTCCCCGGTGTGCCCATCCCCCCCTCCTCCCCGGGGCCCCCCCCCTCCTCCCCGGGTGCCCATCCTCCCACCCCCCTCGGGGAGCCCCCCTCCTCCCCCGGTGTGCCCATCCCCCTCCCCCCGGCAGGAGCCCCCCCTCCTCCCCGGTGTGCCCATCCCCCCACCCCCCTCGGGGAGCCCCCCCCCCCCCGGTGTGCCCATCCCCCCACCCCCCCTCGGGGAGCCCCCCTCCCCAGTGTGCCCATCCCCCACCCCCCCTCGGGGAGCCCCCCCCCGGTGTGCCCAGACTAGCTCGGAGCGTTGGTCTCTCCTAGTGGGCACCGCAGCAGGTCAGTGCGGTGAACACCGGGAGAATCACCGTGTGGGTCCCGCTGTGCTGTCTGTGTCCTTGGCAAGAACTGCCCCCTGCCAGGCCAATGCCCTGAATCCTCCAGGCCCGTCCTGAACATGCCCCGGGGGCTGTGTTAAATGGCGTCTGACTTGGTGCTGACAGAGCAGCCTCGCAACACACCTGCTTTTCTTTGCAGTTACATACAAGTGAGTTAAATGACGGGTATGACTGGGGCCGCCTCAACCTTCAGTCGGTGACAGAACAAAGCTCGCTTGAGGAATTCCTTGCCACAGCAGAGCTTGCAGGAACCGAATTTGCGGCTGGTAAGTTTTTGACCATGCTAGAGACTCATCCTGATATGATGATTTGAAATGTAAAATATGTTGTTTATTAATAGGCATTAGGC